TTCTTCTTCCCCCCCCCCCCCCGCCGAAGTGGGTCACCCACTTTCGTGTGCAGGTTGCCCCACAGGTACTCCGATGCCTGCCCGCCACCGTGGCCGTCGTAGACAGCGGTGAAGGTTTGCGGCCAGAGGTAGGTGCCCTCGAGGCCGGGCAAGGCGAGGTCCTGGATGACGATAGACCGGTCCTCCATCGTCGGTCTTGTGTGGTTTGTTTGGTTTGTGTGTGTTGCGGTGCGTTTGTGGCGAGTGGGCGGGCGGGGTTGAAGGAGGGGGTGAGGAGGGGGTGAAGGGGACAGAAAGAGACAAGGTGTGCGTGTGTGAGAGAGGCCGACAGACAGACAGACAGACAGACAGACAGACAGACAGACAGACAGACAGACTGAGAGAGGGCGGAGGGGTTGAAGGGGGGGGTGAAGTGGACAGAGAGGATGTTTGTGTGTCAGAGTGAGAGAGAGACAGAGAGAGAGAGAGAGAGACGGAGCACTGCTGGTAAGTGAAAACGGTACGAATAAGAACGATCGATCGACAGCTGTCCGTCAATACAGGGAGGAAAACGACAACAGAGCGGCCCAGAGAAAAAGTACAATCCACAACGCCACAATAACCCAACCTAATACGCAGTACCTTTTAAAAATCCATGTTTGTGTGTGTGTGTGTCTTTCGATGCACCACGCTGGATGTAACCAGACTTCACCTCGAGTCTCGAATTCGAGGTACGTGCGCCCGCCCCCCCCCCCCCCCCCCAATTCCTCCTTTTAACCCCCCACTCCTGGGGGCGCGCGCTCCCCTTGGTCCCCTCCCCTCGCTGAACCCCTAATCCAAACGGGTGACGCTGAAACCCCTCCGGGCCCCCCGGAGGGGGGCTCCCAGGGGCCGCCCTCTGGGTGACACCTACGGGCCCACCTTTGGACGGAAAGGAACACATTGGGGGGACGGAAACCATCCAAAGGGTTACAGCCGCTTTCTGGGGAGGGGCAGCTCCACAAAGGAAAATAAAAACGGGGGGAAGGGAAGGATTGCACCCCTTCTGGGGCGGGAA